TTTTAAATCGTGAAAACTAATCGTAACTTTTCATCATGTACGTAAGCTTGTTTTAAAAGAATCCAAGAACATGATTGTGGTTACAGATGAGGTTACGTGGAACGCAATACTGCCAACTGCATATCACTAAATATCTCCATTATTGCTTAATTCAAAAAGTTCGGTTACTTTCTGAAGAGACCTCGTATATCAATCAGTCCATTTCCACGAAAAACGTGTTAATATCATTCAACGTTTTCAGTAACTTTTTTTACTATAATGATACCTTGAAAATAATTTTAGTTGCCCCACATTAGGAAAATTACTAAATAATTTGTATACTCACGTTACAACTTTTTTTACAGACGCTAATAATATGAAGAATATAAACATAGGTATTATTAGCCTCAAATACGACAATTGAACCTATCAAAATCACTTTATATTTATTTCCAGTAGCTTACGTAATGTAAAAATATCGTCATAACATGAACTTGTATTCACATTAAAATTATCAAAACGGTAGAGCTATAAACACATAACACAATTACTTTTGTTATTGTAAAAGTCATAATGCTTGACCTATTAAGTCTAAAATATGTACACATTTTGATTTGAACTGGAAAGGAAAGTGTTAGAGGATTCACACAAAAGCCTATTCTGTGTGAAGATTTGAGATATTCTACAGTTTTATTTGTTAGTCGTCGCAGTTATGAAATTGTGTCTGTTTTCGGCACTGATCCAATGTAAACAGTAATATTGGCAACAAAATTTTATTCAACCGTAGGCTGCCAACATTTTAAAACGGCAGATTTATGTCTCGTATACCTGCATATATTTAATAGTCTTTTACATTTTTGTTAAATAAACGTTTGCTTCTTCCATTCTTATTTGAATTTTATTTTTCAATTATTCATTAAGAAATGGAGTAAAAATGTCAGGCTCTGTAAATTCATTTATTACAGTCATAAAACAGCAATTAGTGGTGCCTTTCAACATTTTAGAATCAGATTGTTTTTTTAATAATACCTTTTGGTACTGCCAAAAAAATTGGGAAAGGCATTCACAATTTCAAATGGTTTGGAAAAATTGTTGTTATATGAGATCTCCCTTGGTATTATCAAGGTTAAACATCTTTTATTATCAGAAATCGACGATTGTGCCTTATTTATGTAACTAGAAAGGAGTTACTTATTTGTATTTTATTTCATATACAGGGTGTTTCAGGATTAATTCGACAAACTTTAAGGAGATATTCCTCATTAAAAAATAAGAAAAAAATCAAGTATAAATTTTTTTCCAGAGACGCTTCATTTTCGAAATATAGGGCGTTAAAAGATTTTTTTTAAATCCGAATTTTTTAAATTACTTCTAAATGAAGAAGGCTATTTAAGCCAAATTTGGCATGACACATCTTCTTATAAGATACCATTTTTTCCATAGAAGTAGAAGTCCCGCAAGCAACCAGTGGCGGAGTTATGGGGACTCAGACTCATTAAATTATAAAAAAATTAATACGGCCCTACTGAAAATAAAAAATGATGCTGTTTTTAGATAGAACAGTTTGTTATTGACAAAAAGTGTACATTCACTTTTTTCCTAACTCTTATAGTTTCATGGCAAAATTGATTTTTCGGAAGGGTGATTCTGGATTTTGTCGATAAACTTTAAAATTAACCTCAACAAAAATTTTCGAGTAGTCTGCTGTCAAGCAATGTTAATTTGACGTTTTAAATGTTATTTTGCGAATTGTTGCAAAATTATCCATTAGATAAAGCGTTAAAACTAATAATAAAAATAAGTTTAATAATGCCGTCCATATTTTCGAAAAATGAATATGCTGATATGGTCTTTGTATATGGTTTTTGTGATGGAAATGCCACGGCGGCTCGCCGTGAATATGTAGTAAGATTTCTTCATCGCAGACTACCAACAAAGGAAACATTTTCAACGACATTCAGTCGTCTCAGACAAACTGGTTCTTTCGGTATTCCAACTTATGCTGATAGACATTTTGCTCCACTTCAGGACGAAGTAAGATCGAATACTATTTTAAACCATTTCGATGAAAATCCATCCACGAGTGTCAGAAGATCTAGCTATGAGCTAGGTATTTCGTCAAGTTCCATTTGGAGGACTCTTCGAGCTGATGGACGCCATGCGTACCATATCTAGCGTGTACAACATTTATTGCCACAGGACATACGATGTAGGCGCGTGTTTTGTGACTGGATGTTGAGCCAAGTAGAGAATGATGATCAGTTTACGCAAAAAGTAATGTGGACAGATGAGGCAACATTTACCCGAAGGGGAATTTTAAACCAAAGAAACAACCATATTTGGTCCTATGAGAATCCACGGGCGGTAAGGGAACAAAGTTTTCAGCGTGAATTACCATGTAACGTGGTTGGGTGTGTTGGACAACACTATAGTTGGTCCCTACTTCCTTCCGCATCGGTTAAATACTGACATGTTTACCGAGTTCCTTGAAAATGGTTTTCAAGATCTGTTAGGGAGTGGTTAAACATTAATTATCCCAGAAGATGAATTGGTCGTGGAAGACCTGCAGCGTGGCCCGCACGTTCACCGGACTTGACACCGATGGATTATTTCATTTGGGGTGCTGTTAAACAAAGAATCTACGAGGTGCCAGTTGCTACCCTAGAAAATCTAAGACAGCGAATAATCCAAGCGTGTTGAAAATTAACTTCAATTCAGTATCGATCGGCCACTACCTCCATAATTAGAAGATGTCGTGCTTGTCTACAGGGGCGCCCATTTTGAACAAAATATTTTTTAAATCATTTCATTTTTGATTCACTTTTGTTAATTTTTTGATTGTTTCAATGTACAAATAAATTTTCATGTATTGTTTGCCTTCTTATTTTATTTAAAAATACACAAGTAAATGAAGTGACTACAAACCGCCTGAAAAAATTTAGGAGTATTGCAAGGGTCGCATTACGACATAGTCACATTAGATGTTAGGTACTTAAATATGTCTATTGTTTTCATCAAAATTATTTTTTTCTAAAAAAAACAGAAGTTATTTAAAAAATTCGAATTTTTTAAAAAATCTTTTAACGCCCTATATTTCGAAAATGAAGCATCTCTGGAAAAAAAATTTTACTTGATTTTTTTCTTATTTTTTTATGAGGAATATCTTCTTAATGTCGACTTAATCCTGAAACACCCTGTATATATCAGAAATAAAAATATTTTTTCTACAAAACTGTTAAAAGTGGGCTTTTTAATTGTCATTTTTGATGTTAAAAATGTCATATTTTGACACGCGTGTTAAAAGTAAGTTACTTTTAACACGAAAATTTTGGTTCATAAACACTGCGATCTGTGTGGTATTTTTTGATTTCTTATTTTTATTGAGTTTAAAGTTCCTCCGATTGTTTTGTAGAAAAAATAGTGTATGATATACGTGTTAAAAGTGATTTTGTTTTGTTCGTGAAGTTAAAAAACTCGCTACGCTCGTTTTTTAATCATCTTCACTCACAAAATAAAATGCCACTTTTAACACTTGTATCATAAATAACTATTTTCTCCAACCGTTGGAAAACTAACATTTTTCGACTGTCAGAAGTCTCTAAGGTTGACATTTTCCTTACTGAGAAAAAAATTGTGTCTTAGCAATAAAAGTATTCACTTTTAATCCTAGGAGCTAAAGTTGACACTTTTAATTATGTGTTAATCAAGTTTTAATTTATAAAAGTTTATTCAACAATATTTACAATAATTTTTGTTTATCCATCGACATTGATATTAAATACACAGTTTGAACAAGTATTAAAATTAAATAAACCGCTAAAACGGCCACTACCCTCATTTTTGGAGCAATTCTCGAAGCAGTCCAGTTTCGTTAATAATTATATTATTTTCTGATGTTGCGAAATCAAAAATGACAACGGTGCTTGGTTTATCATTACCACTATCAACTTTCAAGATTCTTTTCGTAATATGTTCTTTATTCAAAAATGAGTCTTCAATGTAGCCTTCCGCTACAGTGCTCGATCTCCATCCCCGTTGTCTTTTAAGACAAGTGAGATCACCACCGCCGTCAACAAAAAGGGTACCAGACGTTCGTGGTAATGCGTGTCCACTGTACTCTTTCCAGTTGTCTAGCCTCAAAAATTTTGCCACTTATTGCGAGACGGCACTGATTTTATGAATACCAACTATCATTTGATGACACTTTCCACTAACATATCTGAAAAATAATTGACGTTCTACCAATCGGGGTGAACGTAAAGCAACATATTTTCGATAAAAACTAAAATAATTGTCTTCCAGCACAGTAAAAGAACGTGATTGGTTTTGATATTGAGAATTTTTATAATTAAGGCGGATTTCACATCTTCAACATTATCAATTGTTAAATTGACTAATTCATCAAAACGGCATGCACCTGCAACCCTCAATATGAGTATTAGGGCGAAAATGTTGTTCTTTTATTTTTAAAGCGTTTGATCATCAAATATAAATTCAGGTGCACTCTTCAGGTAGGTACACCTAAATCTTCATTAGATACCATTTTTACAAAGTTTTCAGCAAATTAAACCACAAACAATCACAAATTAACTTAATTATCAATATGGCGACTAATGTTTGACAAAGTATCTATTTCTACATCGATATATCCTACTTAACCTACTTTGCTTTATTATCAAAATTTAGTTTGAATAATTTCAAAGCACAAATTAATAATTAAATGGAGGATTTCGGTTGGAGAAAAATAGCATGTTTTATTCGGATTAAAATTTTTAATCCTAATATAACAATATAGTATTCTATTGAATTATGCGAAAATAAGGATTTTCTCATGGCTTAGCCGATATTAAAGTGACATTTTTTTCTCTATTCTGACGAAAAAGAAAAGTTAAATTTTGATGATTTTTTGTAATTAAAACAACTCACTTTTGTATGAGCTAATTTTTTTTGTCATAATTACTCTTTACAATCTTGTATTTCATTATTTCGTAACAGAACTAATGGTGCATTTTTTTTTTCAGATCGAGGAGGGTGATCGCGGCCAAGAAATGACCGCGTCCCCCGACAATTCGGGCGCTGATAGGAATGGCGCAAACAAGCGCAACGACGACGGGGTTTACACAGTATCGGTAACTGGCGGCTACGACAATCAAGGCTTCAAAGGCGATGGAAACAACGACGACCCCAAGAAACCACCACGAGAAATAACCGACGAAGAAGCCTCCCAACAGGGAAAATTCAAATTACCCACCAAAGAAAAATGGAGAATATTGAAAAATGTCTCAGCTATATCATGTGCCTTCATGATTCAATTCACAGCCTTCCAGGGCACGGCAAACTTGCAAAGCAGTATTAACGCTAAGGACGGTCTTGGTACTGTATCTCTTTGTGCTATATACGCGGCGCTCGTCGTTAGTTGTATCTTCGTACCTACATTTTTAATTAAAAAATTAACCGTAAAATGGACCCTATGTTTGTCGCTGATGTGTTACGCTCCTTACATCGGATCGCAGTTTTATCCCAAATTTTATACTCTCGTACCTGCCGGTGTGTTACTGGGTATCGGTGCTGCACCTATGTGGGCGTCAAAGGCTACGTACTTGACGCAAGTCGCTGGGGTTTACGCAAAGCTCACCGACCAAGCTGTTGACGGTATCATCGTAAGGTTCTTCGGATTCTTCTTCTTGGCCTGGCAGACTGCAGAACTTTGGGGAAATTTGATTTCTTCTCTGGGTAAGTCTTCTTCGCTTTATAATAGTTCACGCTAATGGTGCTATTCTGTAATTTTCTCACAGTGCTGTAAGTTTACAGTGATAAAAAAATATCACGCGATATAAAACTAATGAAATTTCATTAATACTTTTTGCTGTATTATTGATTACATTTACTAAAAAAAAGTTAAAAGCTGAAGGTCTTCGCTGTAACATGTTACATAATAGTACTATTATAAGACGAAATGGTTTCCCTGTTTATTATTAAAGCTACTTGAAAGCAATACAGATATGTTGCCTGAAGAAATAAAATATAAATTTTAAAATAATTTTAGTTAAAACTAGTTATAAAAATTTTTATTCTACTTGAAAGGTATTCAGCTAATTCAACGTTCTTAAAATTGTCTCATCAAATGAAGTTGTTTCTTTAACATACCCAGATCTGTGGTATCATGTGACCAGGGGAGACCGGGGTTGATTCTACCCTTTTTCGTTGGTGAGCATTTACAGCTAATAGCTTTAGGCGTTTAGGCCCATAGCTTTAAGGTTTTCTTCCACCTCATTCTATACTTAGCCTTTTATCTCCAGTTAACCACATTTTTATCTTTCAAGTCTTCCACAACCCCCTCCATCCATTTTCTTCTTGGCCTTCCTCTTCATTTCTTACTTTCTGGCACCTTGCTATCGTTTTGACTATTCTCTCATTTCCCATCCTTTCCAGGTGTCCCAGCCACTGCAATGTGCGCGTCCGAACTATTTCGCTAATCAGTGTTTCATTAAAAAGTTCGTATACTTCACAGTTTGTTCTTTTTTCCCATCCTTCTTTCACCTTTTTCCCCTCCAAAAATTATGCGTAATATTCTTCTTTCCCACCTTTCAAGTTGATTCTGGGTTCTCGTATTCATTGTCCACGTTTCCGCTTAATATAATACTGTTGGTCTTAATGCCGTTTTATATAACCTTATCTTTGATTGCTTGGATATTTGTTTCGATCTTAAAATTTTGTTTAGTCTCCCCTCCATAACGCTACCTTTTGCTATTCTCGAATTTATCTCACTAGCCACTTCAATTTTATTATAGATTAATGTTACCAAATACATAAAACTTTTTACTTCCTCTATATCTTTCTTTCCCTTTAATCCAGCTTAAATTGTGAACTTTATTTGGTTCCTCTCTTTCGCACTGTTTCTTAATTCCATAAATTTAGTTTATAAAATATTGATTTCCAACCCCATCTTCCTAGGGCTGTAATACTTTTTTTATTTAATTAGTAGCACCGGTTAATTTCCTGTATGATAAAGTCCAATACATATAGTTTTCAGAATTATCATATAAAAATTTCAAAATTATATGTCAAAAAATGCTCCTATTTGATGTACCATATAAATTTGAATTTAAAAACGTTAGTGTATCACCTGAAGTCAACTAAAAAATATCGAAAAACTGCCATGATGTAGGTATAAGAACTGCACGTTTAAATGTTGCTCAAGTGTAAACTGTTCATATTCTAAAAGTATAAAAACATATGTTAAGAAATGTTGTTCAGAATCAGAAGACAATCAAATATAAAATTACACCCTAACACGACTATACTGACTTTTCCTTATTTTTTTTTATTATGAAGCATAGAAATGTAGTATGGGATATTTCATTTGTTATCCCAATACCGAAGAATTAGCGAATACCATACTTAGGATACGACTAATTTACAAAAAAATCTTCTAAGCCCATTTTGTCTTTAGGTGACCCATCAAACTTTTTTCTTTCCGAAACAAATAATAACTCCTATTGAGCCAAATTATGAGTATTATACTTTAGACAGGTTACTGCATCTTCAAGTTACAGGATGTTTAAGTTGAAGTTAAAAACGAAATATTTTTATAACTGCGAAACCAATAAACCGATTATTTTCAATTTTGACATGTTGTACAATAGTGTAAAAAATACACAATTTCTTGTTGCTTCAGTAACGTGATATAACCAGGCCCCATTTCAAGATAAAACATTATGTTACTAACCAAAATCACGTATAAGAAAGAGATAGATATTTAAAAAATCGTTTAGTGTATGTTTGCTTCTTTGTTAATTATAAAATTTAATAACTCAATTCTTTATTTTGTCTTTACCACTTTATCTTTTTCTTTAAAAATGTTAGGTTCCGTTGCAGACAAAAATATTATCTTTAATTTATTTCAAATTGAACACCCTATAAAATGAGGCTACTTTGAGCAAAGATAAATCAGGACTACTTATCAAATTTTGGCCTCAAGATTATGCAACTTCATTTGATGAAACAAAATTGTAAATTGAATTTGAATTTGCTTAAAACCTTTATAATAATGTGCAGAAACTAGTAATAAGTAATAAAAAGTGTATAATTTAAAAAATAATATGATTGTTAAGTGCAACCAAAAGAGGTTTACGAAATTTTATAGAAATGTTCTGAACTTGTTTTCATTATCAGTGTATAAAAGTACGGTGTTATTCTTTATTTTAGATGTATTATATGATAACATTAAACATTGTACGGAGTGTTTTCAAAAAACATAACAAACCGAACTTATGGTTTTCTAATGGTTACACCGTGTATATACATATACGCTGTATATTTGGCTTAACCATTATCCTTATCAACATGAAAAATGTGTAATGAAACGTGACAAATTGTATTACTAAAGTAAATGTTCAAAATGTCTTCCTGTTTGTTCTGTACATAACTTGTAATTGCATTTTAATGTATTTATTGCTTTTGCTCTTATTTCGTGGTTCTCATTTTATCACGAATATTTTGAAGCTTTTGTGGTTCTACTTCATTAAAGTTTATATTCAAGGTAACCCCACAAAAATGTATATGGAGGATTAAATCAGGACTATTTTCAGCCCGCTGAATATAACCAGATCTGCCTAACCAAAATTAAAAGCAGTTTTCCGTATTTCTGATATTAAGTGGACTAGGTGGAAGGGAATCGAAATTTAACTGCAATCGTCTAATAACATTTTCAACAATACGCTTATACTGAAAACTAGTTTCAGCTTCGGTTAGGTTGATTTGGCCTTCAAATAGGCATGGTTTGTGTCCATATTGCACTTTTGACACCATTATCTTCAAAGTGTTCGTAATAAAACAACTAAACAAATAGATTTAAAAGAAAACTAATTTAAAAATTTATTCTAGATATTAATAAAATTTTTTGCATTTCATTTACATGTTTTTTTTTGTGTTAAACGGATGGAAGAAAAGACGTGGACGAATACTTAAATATTTCGTTTAAAAAAAAAAACATATTTTAGTTTGTCGCGCTTTTTGAGAACACCCTGTTCAAAGTTCAATATCCTCATAAACATCTCCTACTCGACAGACACAACTTTCGGATTTAACGTTTTTTTAACTGAAAAATAAAAAAAGTATAGGATCGTTGACGTTTATAGCCAGTAACACTGTACCTAGGAATCTATTCAATTCCCGATAACTAACTTGCAATAACAAACTTCCTGCATTAACCTACTTGATATTCAGAATAGATTGCTAAAAACGTATCTGAAAGAGGTGTGTTTGTGAACAGTATGTGGATAATACAGGAATCATCTTTCTGACACCAGCTAACTATGTTTTGTTCTCACATCATGGTATTAAATTTTTTAATCTATGGTTCTTTTCATATTTCATATATTGTAAGAGATATACATATTATCATAATATGCAACCTAAAAATATAACAATGAGTTATTAAGTTCATTTATTTTTAGATGGTTTGTAAATTTGAATGCATGCTACCTTAATTTTGCAAGATAAATTTTACGTTGAAAAGTCCTTGGCATAAATAGTTGACAAAATTCGATTAGGTGAATAATTTAAAAACGGTTCTTAGTTTATGCAAATTACGAAGAAAACAGTGATTTAGCGGAACCATCTAAATAACTATGAGCATCGCCACTACTGGGTCATCAGTTACTGGTAGATAACGACCTTGGAAGAAAAATATTTATACTTTATCATGTATCTTAATAAATACGTATTACAAAATTTTCAATTTTAAAAGTACTTAGAACTTTTATAATGGACATACAATGTGTATTTTTATATAGGTAATATACACTGTAATAAAAGTATGGTAAAATTCCTCGAACTTTCCATGGTAACCTGTTGCCATGAAATGTTCAAGTAATATTACATAAATCTTACATGAATTTTACTTGAACATTCCATGCCAACAGATTACCATAGAAAGTTCAAGGAATTTTACCATACTTTTTATTACGGTGTATATTAAATAACAATTAAAAGTAGTATATTACTGTACACTGACAAAATTTTTTTGTAAAATTATATTATTGGTTACTTTGTCGCCACATACAGTGGGTAACGTAAAATTATACATCATACAAGTAAAGTTACACTAAGCATGTAATTTTACATTTTTTGTAATTCATTCAAAATGTAAATTTACATTATCGATGTAATAATATGTATATTTACTACACCTACAGCGTAATTTTACTAAGAAACGGGAAAACTACATAGTAGTTTTAGGGAGAAAAAAATCTAGGCATTATTGTTTTGTAATATTTTTAAAAAGTATATCTTTTTTACATACTTAAATATTTTTCCAAGATAAGTTACGACGTACCTAAATGAAGAGAAAATAACACTAAATAAACTTAAGAAGATTTATTAATTCAGTAAATGACACATTTTTTTAGAGTAAAATATAAATTTCTAAATTATAGGTACCTAAAGGTAAATAATAAATTTAAAATAATAATACAATGAAAAACTTGGTACAGCTGGTTTAAATTAACAAATTTAGTAAAAATTAAAAATAAGGCATTATCTGTAAAAAAACCTCCCTATGCTTATTTAAAGGGGACAAAGTATATATTTAATTTTAAACACTTTGTTTAGTGACGCCATCTTCCTTCAATGTTTAAATTTGAATATGAGCTACCAAATACGTTTTCATACTCTCGAAAACCGTATAAATCTTGCAATTAAATAAATAGTAGGTATGTAGGTACTTATCT